GAGAAGAGAGAAGGACGTGGGGGAACGCGTCTTTTGTATGTTTTAAAATGGCTCATTCTTACGCAGTGCATTCCCAGTATAAATCAATTAAAAAATCATCCTGCTGGTAATCTAAAATTAGACGGTGTTTTACATGATTTAGCAGGATAATTGTACATTAACCTTTCAACAAAAAAAATTGCATTTTTAGAGATACATCAAATGCTCTTGTGCAGAGATTCGCAACAAGGCCCCCAGGAGTTCGCGCGGCCATTTTTTCTCGCGGTTTTCTTTCGCGTCACGCGCGACGGACTGAGCGAAAGAAGGACTAACCATAGTCTACAACAATGTTGAACGCACTACTAAATGTGGAAACTACACAGATCGTAGACTCTTCCCATTATGTTTGGGCCTTGTGACAATTTGTTAAATAACAGTAGTTGTTAATTGTCTAGTTCAGCTAGGTAGTTGGGGTTTTGATAACCAGAGGGTAGAGGGTAGGGGCAAAGTTTTAGGGATAAAAATAATTACAATTACAAACCCGATTAGCTATTTGCGACTGATTGTGAGCATCCATCGCATTCTGCTCCGTGATAGCAAGCTGCTCTTGGTTCTTCTGAAATTGCTCTTTTACCATTGGCACCATTGACGCCATGTCTGTAACATTCGCTTGTGCTGTGTCCACGGCCTTCTCTAAGGAATCCAGAGCTGCAAGAAGCTGAAACAAGGCAAAATAAAAGTGTTGTTCAGGGAATGCCTTGGATCACGGAGTGAAACTTGGTTGTTCCTTTCATGGAAAGTTTACCATCTTAGATCTCAAAGTAAAAGGTAAAAAGCTAAAATCTCAAAACGTAGTTCGCGTTGAAGATGCTGGTTGTCAAGCAGGGTTCCAAAGCGATTGTTTGTCGTCAATATTCTGACCTCTTACGCAGACGTTCTTAAGGCCCGTCAAGCAACCTTTGGAAGGATTGCGTGACTACCAAGGATTGCGTGACGAGTCATAAAGACGTTTGCGTAGGAGACAGTATCGACCAAAAACGAAACAAATAACTAAGTTTGATCTTTTATAACTACAAAAAAAGATGTGCTCCTACTTGATTTAGAATATCTTCCGCCATTTTAATATCATCTTGAGTCGCGTCAATGGCGTCCTCGGCCGCTTTCTGAGTCCCAGCAGCCTTTGCGAGAACATCTGTGATGTCCGCAATGACGTCAGTCACTGCCTTTGCTTTCGCTCTAAAGATAGAAACAAACAACTAAATGAGTTTGAAAATTCTTCGGTCCGATAGATGTCGACGGTTGTCAAAAGACAACGAAATGTTGTCAGTAAGTGACAAAGGTGAAACCCATGCCTTGTTTGACCAAAACAGGTACGCTCCAGACAAGACGTTTAGAATTTACGGTGGTCCTTTAGAATCCGTCTAAATCTTGTCCACTTTTAGCCATCCTTGATAATTTTCTGTTTATTATTATCGTTCTAGTGTTGTCTACTCGAGCAAACCGTTATATTTTGAGGTTTGTTTCCATTTGAAGGGGATTTTGTGCACCGAAAAAATGGATTAATTTACTTTATTTCCGAACATAGCTGTTGACTCTGAAGCAGGGTCCTGAAAAGTTGGGAAAAGGGGGAAGTTTAAAGAAATTAAATTTTTCAAGTTCGTCGTTTGTAATCCGTGTTAATCTCCTCCATCCTTAACTATCCTTGTTCCTTTACGGTTTAAAATTATATTTTTGGTGTTTCCCTATCTTAGTGAACTGTTATTTTCAGGTTTCCTTCAATTTAAAAGTAAGTTTGCACGTGGTCAAAATAGCCCAAAATACCGTCACTGAGCTCCTTTAAATCCCATTCCCCGCACAAATTTTGTTCAAATCCCATTCCTGAACCTACTTTTTGCCCACATCCCAGTCAGTCTATTTTGTATTTGTGATTTCCAGTCCAGGGGCCCGTTTCTCGAAGGCCCCCGGAAACTTTTCGGGCCCGTAAAGCCATAGCAAAATCTCGAACCTTACGATTACGGAGCTGTTTTATTCACATATTCTTAATATGAAGAGAAGTTCCCTTGATACAAGAAGTTTCAGGCGTATACACTTCCCCGTTTTTAGATACAGATGGACTAAAAATGGCTTTACGGGCCCGAAGAGTTTCCGAGGCTTTCGAGAAACGGGCCCCTGGTGACACAAATCCCATTTTCCCAGTGATAAAAGAGATAAATACCATTTTCAATTTTACCCTTTCAGGCCCCTCTAACAAGAAACGAAAAAGGTTACCTAGCTTTTTCAGCTCTTCCCTTCAAGTCATCCGCGATGTTTAACCTCTCTTCGGTTTCCTCTAATATGTCATCTATACCCGTTAACGAATTCAAGGCTTTCTTAATATCCTCTGCAAGCTTGGCTACCTCCTCTGGAGTCACAGACAGTTTAAGTTTTTTTACACTGTCGGCTACTTCTTGTACTTTGTCTGTGTCGCCAAACATTTGGCTGAGGAAGTCCAAAATGTCCTGAAAATATAAAATGGATCCGCAATCAAAGCGAACTGAGAACAAATCATAACACAAACAAACAGACAATCCCTCTGGTTATTTTCCGTAGGTTTGGCACACATTTGGACGAATTCCTTCAAATGTGTCCTTCGTCCATATGAACACGAAATGTTTCAAACTTCAGAACTGTGAAAGAATGAATGTGTGAAGTCAATTTTGAAACGTTCGAAGTATGAGCAGCTACAAATTACAAACCCGCATTCGGAAAAAGAAAAGAACAAAAATTACTTGTAATTAAAAATCACGTGATACCTGTATGAGTTGATCCATACGGGCACTTGCATTTTTTGCTCGCTGGTCAGCATCCATGGCCCTCATCATTGCCTGGTCAGCGGCTTCTAGGGTCATATTTACCATGATTTCAGCGTCCTCTACTTCCTCCAATTTTTCCTTTGCTTTTACTGATGTTAAAACATAAAACAACCCGGTCAGTTTTGGATTAGGGTACTGTTCTACACTGCATTCGTTTAAGTTCTTCACATGACAATTTTTTTTTAAGCAGCGTCGCACGCGGTTTTTGTTGGTAGTGTCAGAGATATATGTATCGTAGAGACTTGTTGCTTTCATGCAACAAAAAGATACAAGATTTAACTATCAATATGGACAACCTAATCTAAAATCACAAAAGGGTGATTGTTTAATTGGCTATTTTCTCTTTTTTTCTTTGTTTGTAGTTGAGTCCAGATATCCTAACAGGGTACACTGCTGCGGAATAGAAGTCAGTTGAGGCAGCTAGAAAATAAAACTAGGGTCAATAAATGTACTGACACTCTCTCATTCGCTGAGCCTCTTCAGCCTCGATGGCTTTCTCTAACGCGTCCGCGGCCAAGTCCCTGGAGCCATCACACCCGGGCCCACCACACGTCGAACAATTAAGGACGCCGCATCCGCCACACTGACTCATGGGAGGCCCACAAACGATTCCATTGAGAATGTCAACTTGTTCCAGAAGTTCTCTTAACTTTTCGCTGATGTCGAAAAGGGAAGCGGTGTTTTCGTCGTGTTTGTTGCTAAATGAAGGCGGGCCAGCGATAAGGTTCTCTGTTTTATTCCTCTGTTGCTGCGACATGTCAATAATGCTCATAGATTCATCCACCTTTGCCTCAGCCTCACGCGAACGCACATGATTCTCCAAAATCTTTTCGTATGCTCCTTCTATGTCCGAACGAAATATCTTCTCCATCTCTGTTTGTAGCCGCGTCCCGTTTCGAAGAAGATCGGCGAGTCTCTGACGAAGTTCCTCGATCTCGATGTTGGCTTCGGAGGTTCGCATCTCAGTTGAATTCAACTCTTCGTCCATTTTTTCTACCCTCTCCTGTAGGGTTTCCAATTGCGTGTTCACAGAATCTAATTCCTTTTCGATTACTGTTGTGTCATTTGCAGTTGTTGCTTGGGTTTCCAGTATCATTTCTACTTTTTTCAATTTGTCTTCCAGCTCTTGCAGTTCCTTGCTGTAGGCATTAATATTTCCAACTAAAGAAAACATAAATAAATAATTAACAGCATTTTCACCTCAGAGAGTTAAGAAGGTTCGACACGATAGGCTCGATTTTCGCCGCTCTCCCGGGTCCGGTCTGGAGCGCGGGCTCCTTTCCCGAACAGCGGCTGATAATCGAGCCC